TTTTTAATAGCCAGGAGAAAATTAATCTGCAGCAAAAAGTTTAGGTTAAACTTTGGGTAAATATTTCCTATGAGATCATAAAAGGTGGGTAACAGCTAAGAATAAAGTGAATATCAGTTAATCCCAGAATAACTGTGGCCTGACCTGCCAAAAGAAAGAGAGATAAAAATATGTCCAATAGAAGTCATTCACCCATTGTTCATTCATGGATTCAGCACCGTTTATTCAATAATTTCTCTGGGGCAGAGAAGTGGAATCAAGGGCTAAAGAGTGGTTTGAAGCTCCAGGATTCCACCTACTAAAAAAAAAAAAAAAACCCTAAAAATATCCTGTTCTTTAAGAAAAAGAATAGTATCCCTTTTTTGGAAGATCAGATGACTAGAATTTAAACCTTACACCATTTTCTCTTCTTATTTTGTGCAATGTAACTTTATACAGGGTGCATTAAGGGCAAGAGTTAAAGAACAGAGTTACTAAAGATCAAATAAAAATGTCTGCTGTTTCTTATGAATAAATAAAAGAATGTTCTGCTGTTAAGCAAGAGAGCTTCACTTTAGTTCTACCTGGTTGTTTGGATGAGAAAGCTCTTCATTGGGGTCAAGGGCCATCACCAAGAGGCATGCTTTGAACAATCCCCCTGCTTTCTCCAACTTGCCACTCCAACCATTCTTCTACCCTCTACACAGACAACTGTTTTTCTACCTCCCACACAGCCCACCACTCTCCTGTGCTATCTCCAGGGGCTGTAGGCTGGAGCTATCACCAGAGTTTTTTTTCCTACTCTCAATAGTCTATCAGTCTAAAGTAGCTGGATCAAAAAAACTCCTGGTTGGGAGGATTTCTACAGGGTGAATCATTAAATTGAAGAGAAGTTCCTCTACAAACAATCATTAACTATGAAACTTATTCATTACACGTTTCTTCATTTCTTTTTTTTTCTTCCTGTTTAGTTGTTTGGCTTGGATAGAAACTCCTGAGAAGTCAGCTCCATAGTACCCCTGATTCAGACGTCCAGTTGAGGCTTCCCTTTAGTCTAAGAGGGAGTTGTGCTTTTGGCAATAATTGAGTTTCTTCTCTTTTCTCTCTCTACCCACCTCCATCTTCTGAGCTGCCTCACTTTTACCCACCCCCACAACATACACTCAGTTTCCTCATTTACTTAGATCTCACTGAAATATATGACAGCAAGTTACTCAGTTATAGAGATTTATTAAGACTGAATAAAGTATTATCAATTACCAGAGGCTTGGAAGATGGCTGAGGTTCCCTGAACAGCCTGACTTAGCAGAAAGAAACATATACATCGCCATGATGTGATTTGAAAGGCCCTGGGAGAAGTCTCTCTGGCATCTTCACTGGCTGCCATGACTCAAAATCCCAACTTAGCAGTTCCTTTGATGTAGTCAACAAGACCATCCTTGGATTCAGCTGGAATCCCAAGTCTGCTCTCTTAACCAGGTGACCTTACTTAAGCCACTTATCATCTCAGAGCCTCTATTTCCTTTTCTGGGAAAGGAGATAATAAAACCAACCTCAAGTGTTGTTGGGATAATGATATGAGATATATAAAATACTAAGAACACTTCAGTATATGATAGGTAATATTTTCAAATGACAATCTCATTTAGTAGTTGTAATATATTAAACTGCTATCCACTAGATGCTATACCAGCTCAAATCAGTTTTCTGATTAACTTTACCCAAGAGCAGAAACTTGAGAGAGTTTCACAAGGTAAAGACATCCGAGGATTCTTAGAAGCAGCCACAACATCAGTGATACTAGAAGTGACATGCAGTCTGAAACAAAACTTTGAAATGTGTGGAAAGCCAGATTGACAACATGTTAGCCAAGAATGAGGTTGGAAGAACGTTGAAAAACATGATTAACTATCTCATTGTGTTAGCTTTTGTACTTTCTTTCTTCAGTAAATAATAGAGTTGAATAGAAAAATAATGAATGCATTTTCACAAGGCTCTGCCAGGTCTCATGTCTGAATGTACATTCTACGTCCACAATTCTTGTACAGACAAAGCTACTTCACATACAAAGAGCTTCATGACCTGAATTCTACCTTCCTCCCTGCCTTCATCTCCTGTAAATTCCACAGAAGAAAACTGTGTAACAACCACACTAATATAGTTGTGTTTTGGGGAAGTGGTGATTTTTATACTATTCCACATTTCCATGTTTGAGCACATGGAAGTCTCCCCTACCTGTACTACACTAGCTTTGGCTAACTTCTTCTGGTCCTTCAAAACTTAACTGCCACTTTTCCTTGAAATCTAACTATCCCAGTCCATACCCACCCCAGGTCCGGGCACATCTGTGCTCACTCATCTCTATTAGCAAATTCATCACACTGATCCATTTATTGAAAACTACCTTTTTCTTTTCTACTGTTCTGTGAGTTCCTCGAGGGCAGAGGCTATAAGGCCCTTGACTTTCTCTGTATAGCAGACTTCCGAGCCTGGCACAGAGTAAGCACTTGATAAACATGTAATAAATGAATAAATGTCAGATGGAGTAATATGTACAGTTGCTTCTGTAACAAATTATTTTCCAGAGTCATTTATCACAGGATATGACTTGTCCTAAGACAATGAATGAAACCCAGAAGAGTTAAATCAGAATCTCAGCCTCTGCTCCCTCATGAGAATGATAGAAGGAACTTCCTGATCTTGTCTGGATTTTGCCCCGCGATGCTCAACCTGTTACTCTGGGACACCCACAGGCGAAGAAGGCATCCTAACGAAGAAAAGTTTGGTTCATTTCTTTTGATCCTTGGTAGGTTGGTTGTTGAACAAAATCTAAATCTAAAATCAAATGCCAATGTACTGATAGAGGGCACTTTGCTACAGAAAGTGGCAGAAGATGGAGCTTTTTCTCTGGCTCTAAAGGAAATGGAAAGGGTTGTGAAATATTCAATAACTTCTATGCTAATACTGGTATGGTGGCACCAGAATTGAGGGAAGGGATGTTTTGAAGAGTTCCTCTGAGTGCAGCCTAGATGATTAAGTTAAGTCAACATAAAATGGGTTCAAAAGTTAGCGAACTAGTGAGTGGGTCAAAGGAGGGAGAGGCTAGAATTTAAGTAGAAGAGATGATCAGTGAAAGTTCTGGAGAAGAGGGTATGGAGGCACTTCGACACGATGGTCTCATTTTCCATGTTCAAATGATGTGGTGCCCTTCTCTACCACTCCCCTCAGTGTTCAGTAAATGAAGCCCTGGTCAGTTATTCCCTAGGAGGGAAGGCACTGAAGCAGTGCTTATTAGGGAAATGGCTACACCATAGGAAGTGAAACGGTGAGCAAAGGTCACGAATTCAGCCACAAAGGGAGTGAGAGTGGAAGGTAACGAGGAGAAACACTCCCCTTCTCAATGACTCTATATTCTACCTCCCATATCAGCTTCTCTGATTATACACAATGAAATGAAGGTGTTTCCATTCAAGTTTATAAAGTGAAAAATTTCAGATCCTGCACAGTGAAGGGGAATTCATGAATCCAAAAAGATAAGTGAATCTAAGCTGCTGGTTGCAGAAGATTTTGAATATGTTTCCTGGCAACACACCCATTTAACCCTTCCACATATATTTCTCAAGCTTGTATATGCCACTTTGTGATCACCTCTCCTCCTCAGAGATCTTCTGAATTCATCTATTCAGCTAACTACCACCAAGTTCCTACTGTACAAGGAGTAGGTCTTAAAGGATATAATGTTAAAAGAGGCATGGTCTCCATCTGCGACATGAGTTATATTTGATTTGCTGTCATCCATGATGCTGTGATAGAGGTCACTGCAGGGTAAACTGGGGCCTGTGGAATGGAGAAGTCCATCCTACCTCCAGTCACCTTCATCTGATTTTACCCAGGTGAAGATGTTGAGGTTAGGAGAAGGCACCCAAGTAACTTGCTCTGGGGCCCAAGCAGTCCCACAGCATTCTGAAGAGGTGAGCCTTCTAGGAGGACTTGATGGAGCCAAATGTTTGGTCCTTTCCTCACTGAACTGAGGATTTGACTCAACCTTAAATTTCTTTCGAAACAGTCCTTTGCTGTTATGAATTTGAGCACTGAAGGAAAAGTACTTAAAAGAAATTTCAATTGGGTTGAGAGCAGCTTGACATAGGAATTCTTAATTGTATTTGAGCAGCATTTGATGAAGCAAGCAAAACTACAAAAGCCAAAACCAAAGAAAGACTTAAATTAAGTCAAAACAAAGGTGGGTTTGGAAACGTTCTGTGCACATTTTCATAATCAATTCAGTGAAAAATAAGCATTCCACCTGAAAGACAAAGGAAAAGTAAATGTAATGGACACGGGAACTTTAAACTTTATTTTACAAAAGTGACTTGGTGTGGGAGAGTAAGAGAGACTCTGACCTCAGATATAGCTGAGTTCAAATTTGGGATCTATCACTTAATAGATATGTGTGACCTTGGGAAAATTATTTAACTTCTCTGTAATCTACATTCCTTAACCTTAATATGTAAAAATGAGAAAATATACAGAATTAATAGATTGTTGTAAGGATTAAATAGATGCTTAATAAATATAAATTTTCTTTCCTATATTTTTATTAGCCATAAAAGGGTAGGCTGATGACTGAAACATCGATGGGGAAATGGGACAATGAAGAAACAGTCTGTATAATTACACATCTGTATCTCCCTCACTCTCTCTCCCAAAACTTATATTCCACACATTATAGAAGCACTGACTAAATTACAAAGCTAAATATTATATTCCATTCCTTTGTTTACAGTGGAATATTCAGAATATAAGAAGGTGGTGATGTGACAACATGTTTTCTGTTACAAACCTCAGCAATAGCCCTAAAAGCACTAGAACTGGCCATTTTCAAAGTTAAAAACAACCACAATCATCAGGGAGCCCTAGTTCATATTGAATTTCTCATCTGTGTCCTTCTCTCTTGAGGGAAATTTTATGCATCAACTAATGTGATTCCTCCACAGCTGCAGAAAGATCATGATTCCCATTACCATTCATCCCTGTCAGCGTCACAGTTACAAAAGTGTCGAACATCCAGGCAACTCTCGTCCAGGCCACAATCACACTGCTGAACTCCAGGAGGAGCACCTCCCCAGTAAGGGTGCCTTTCATTGGACCGCCCAATCCACCAGGTAAACGGTGTTCCATCTGAAAGACAAGACATTCCACAAGTCAGAGCAGCCTGAAATAGCACACAGGGCATCACAGAAACTGACATGAAAATGTCTTAAAGAATATATATTATATGTATTCTCCCTTGCTTTCCTCTCTTCCCTTCTCTCTTTTCTTTCTCTCCTTCTCTTTCTTTGTCTTTCTCTCTGTTTTTATAAGTATTTATGTATCTATACATATATACATATTTGCATATATACATATCTGTACACATATATCTATGTCTGTACATACTCTCATGTAAGCAACACTTTCGCAAAAACTATTAATATAGCAGGATACTGATTAACCACAATGTTCAGAGGCAGGGTCACAAACTCAAATGCTTACAAATCAGGCAGGTGTCACAACTGAGTAAATTAGGCCAGATTTTATACCAAATAAATTTCATAGATAGATAAAAAATTAATTTCCTGTTAATGATTTGCCTGACCTTAGTCCTCCGTTTCTGGTAGAATATGAGGAGGGGTGGACACCAAGGCGAGGGGAAAGTGTTGGCCCAGAGAAGAAGGTTGCCCTGTCCTACCTCCCACTGATTTCTGTCATGGCAGAGACCAGCCCCAGTGCTACCATATCTTCTGAATTTGTTTTAAGAGAAGTCATAAGTTTCAAATTCAAAGATCTGGATGAAAAAAATAAAACTGTGAAGGTTAATACTGCGTGGGCCAAAGTCCTTCTGAAAATGACATGTAACCCATACAAAGCTGGTATGCAACCTCCAATTTCTGATTTATATAATTGACAGAAGAATATTTTTGAGTTTTGTCCATGTCAGTTTCTTTCTTTGCAAAGTTTAGTTTACTAAAATCTGTTGGAGTTTTCTTTCGTGATTGAGAATATTTCAGTAAATTAGAATTATTATTCAAAAGACAATAATGTATCTAAAAAAAAAGATGTAGGTAGAGAGGGAGGTGTTATACATGATTAGGCTTATTGGGGTTAGGCCTAGGTTCCCTTTAGAAATTTCTGTTGTGTTTCTGTTTGGCACATAACAGGCACTTAATATGTGTTTATTTAAAAAAAATATTTATTGGGAACCATTTTTCATGATTTACCATTTTAAAGCAGAAAAATATTTGTCTGAGGATGCTACTAGGTTGGAAATTTGCCTAGTCAAGATTTAATTTTGCATGCAACTCCTGATTTACAAACGTATAATTTACAAATTACCCATGTATACAAATAGCAACAACTTTTTCTGAATTGCTTTCACGGCTATAGTCCTCAGGGAAGTCACTGAGGCAAGTAGAAAGAAAAAAGACAATCTGGAGCTTCTGAGAATCTGTAGGTCATGAAGAAAAAAGTTAAGGAAGATATTAAGAAAAGCAGAAGGATCTTAGGGGGTGGTGATTCAGGGGGTAGACAGCCTGAAGGACTATTCTCACCCTAAAATATCACTCTTCACTCTGCCTAAAATATTTTAAGCCCCTTTATTATGTTTTAAGCTAGAATTCCAGTTAGAGATGTCTGTTAACCAGTGTCTTCTTTTTGAAGAATAATTTTCAATGGTATAAATCCATTTTCTTCAGTTTCAAACTGCTATAAATCATTGTAACCTAGTTCAAATGAATTGTTTTCTTTCTCAATTCTAGCTCAGATAAGCCATAGTCAAGTGGCTTAGAGGGCTGGTAGGTGTATGTAGAGCATAAAGCACTTTTAAGACTGGGGTAAGCGTAGGTGGATCATCCCAGTGTGTGAGGCCAGGCAACACAAGAGGGAAACATTGTGTATTTAAATATGTTTTCCAATGTTGGCTTTGGGTCCAAGAAATCTCTTTACCTCTCCCCCTCCTCCCGGCACTGCCCAGGCCTCTCCTTCCCTAATCTACAATCTAGATCACATAGTAAAGTTCAATGGCATCATGGATTATTTTTGTTTATAGGCTAAGCCAAGGTTGTAGCCATATTAATAGCATCATTACTAATGAGATGGTTTCTGAACAACCAATTTGTGCAGAGCTTCTGGTGTATATGTTGCCATCTAGTAGTTTCACCAAATCTTACTGAGTGTCTTAAGACCCTGGAAGTTCCAATAGCAGCACAAGACTTGGTTTTGAATCCACCACTGTCTTATACCACTGAGGCTTGGGGTCCCCTCCTCCTATTGGCAATTACTATAAAAGTTGCAATTTATTTTAACTGATTGACTATCAAGGAACAAGGAGAAAGGACGGGAAAGAGAAAAAAAATATACACACACACACATATGAAAACAGGAGGGTTATTGCTAAATTTTCCTCTCAGCTGTCCCATCTTTGTGTTTCCTTCCCTGGGGAGGACTAGATAGAGCACAACAAATGAGGAAACTGAGGATCAAAAAAGGTGACAGATTTGCCTTAATTCATGACTCTAGTGATATAGTCAGGAAGAGAATCTACACCCTAGCTGCAAATTTTGGCCATTGGAGAAATTAGATTTTTTTTTTCTCCTGTCAGAAAATACTTTCAAAAGTGAAAGAACAAAGCATAACTATAAATATATATTTTTAAATATATGCATTCATCCAACAAATATTTACTGAGGATCTATAGTATTCCAGGCACTATTCTAGGCACTTGGGATAAATCACTTAAAACAAATCAAAACAAATAAACAAAACATGGCCTCAAAAGCTTACACTATAATTATGGGAAATAGACAATAATAATAACTAAATGATTTAGTATTTAGTAAGGGCTAAGAGTTATGGAAACAATATAGCAGGCTGAGGGGATCCAGCTGCTGCAAAGAAGGCATGTTGCAATCCTAAATAGAGTGGTCAGGGTAGAACTCGACAAAAAGATCAACTCTGGGCAAAACTTGAAGGCAGGAAGCAAGTTGCACACGCTGGCTACCTGGAGAAGAGTGTAGCAAGCAAAGGAAATGGTAGATGTGAAGGTCTAGGTGTAAATCAGGGCCTTTCCTCAAATCTACTACCAGGTTCTTAAACTAGGATTTCCAAAATTTTGAGGAAACTCTAGTAGGAAGATTTAACAGAAAAAAGGGGAGCAGAAAACAGGCAAAATAGAACTCATGAACTCATATTAATCAGGTTCTTGGTTAGAAGCTAAGAATTCTCTCTGATAGTTCCAAGCCAAAAGATATTTATTAGGAAGTTACCAGGCTGTCACAGAATCATGACCACAGAAGAAACGGGCTTTAGGCTAATGGGCTGACCATGCCGCAGACCCAGCCCGATGCGGAAACCCTGCCCAGTTCGCTGCCCCTGAACAACGACTGTCAGGAGACACACTCAGCTGAGGCTGACATGCTGCCAGCATCACAGCCACTTCTTTCTAAAGGTCTCTGGCCAGCAGGCCCTGCCTTCCCAAAGAGAGGAGTTTCTGTGGCCCCTGCACCCACAGAGCAGAAGCTCCACGCAGAGCCTGCTTCCGCAGGGCTCACCTTCTGGTCAGAGGTTCACACAGGTGGTCTGATTGGTGAAGCACAAGGCCCTCACCTGGGCGCCCACTCAGAGGGAGATTGGGGATTTGAACTCTGACTTCACTGCAGAGGCAGGATTCAAAACGTGAATTTCCACTAACACAGAAATGCTACTCAAAAGATGATAGGAGGCATGAATAAGACAAACATCCATTACGGAGCTAAAAAGACACTGAAATAGTTTTTTTTTTTTAAATTTTATTTATTTATTATTTATTTTTCCCCCAAAGCCCCAGTAGATAGTTGTATGTCATAGCTGCACGTCCTTCTAGTTGCTGTATGTGGGATGCGGCCTCAGCATGGCCGGCAAAGCAGTGCATCGGTGCGCGCCTGGGATCCGAACCTGGGCCGCCAGCAGCAGAGCACGCGCACTTAACCGCTAAGCCATGGGGCCGGCCCAAGACACTTAGTATCACTTAATGGATCAGTACTTTAAACTTCTGAAATCTCGCTTTCTTCTATAAAATGGGGTTATTAATTCAAATATTGACCTCTTTTGAGATGCTTCTGATAAACAAAGGATTCTGAGATGTGCGTACGTGTGTTGGGTGTGGAGGAGACAACAGTTTTGCTCTGACAGCCAGGTAAACACAGAGCAGAATGGGGAAAGCTGCCTCGCACCCTGGGTCTGCCCACTGTGAAAGGAATACCCACACGCTGCTTTGTGCTTCTGGGGCCGGAGGCTTGGGGATTGTAGAGGCCTGTGCCTTGGCAAGGAAGCAGTGTTTTCATGCACAGCCCCTGCAGCAGTACACAGCACAAGGACTTCCACAAGAGAACCAAGGAGAAGAAGGTGGAAGAACTGGGGCCCCTGGGAGACCCCACCAGGAATGCTGCAGTACCCACTGAGACCTCAAGGAGGTGGTGAGGTGCTCAGAATGCAGGATATAAAAAAGATGACTAAAGTGTTGCATTAATTTGCATTACTTCTACGCATTTGGAATTATTATTGTCATGTGACCTCATGTGTACAAAAGTCTGGGAAAAAATCAGCTTACATATATGCTAAAAAAAAAAGTCCTCTAAGAAAGTATGTGACAGTAAGTGCCCACAGAAAGTGATCATGTGCCCTTTGTTAATACTAAATAGAATATCACCAGACAAACATCAATCATACTTACCATGCAGCAGACTTATAAAAGTGACAACAGGAAACATTATCTATACGAGCATGTCCTAGGTTACAGACGGATTCTCAAGTGCTCTACGTTACGTTAACCCATTTAATCATCACAACAACCCTATGAGTTAGGTATTATTATTATCCTCTACTTTACAAATAAAGAGACTGAGGCAGAGATAGATTAAATACCTGCCTGGAGGCCATACAACTAGAAAGTTCAGAGTCAGGACTTGAATCCAAGCATTCTCGCCCAAGAATCTGTGGGCTTACCCCCTGTGTTATGTCACTGTGCTCTGATACGTGGGAAAATAATTCATAGCTGAAAACTTATGGCCTTTCAGCAAAATATGTATGAGTGATTTAAGTGATAAGAGAGAACTAAAAAAATTATAACTGATGGATAATTTCTTACATTCACTAAAATAAAGACA